GCTGAGAACAGAAGACGAGCGGGTAGATCGCCAAGAAACCGCTGCGTAGCCAAGTCGTCGACCCAAGAAGCGTCTGAGTGTCCAGTGGGGACAACGTCACCCCGTCCTCCAAGCACGAGCCCCATGCCCGACGTACTGCACAAGTAACGCAGTACCCTCTTCGCAGCATCCCAGTGCACCTTTTGGTGTCTACCAGGAGCCACGTAGCGAGGCAAAAGGCCAAGAGGGTACGCAAGGTCAGGACGAGTGCAGGTCATCATGTACATGAGGCAGCCCACTAGCTCTGGATACGGACCACTCGGCTCTACGGACTCATCCGAGGCCAGAGCTGAGAGCGAGTGACCAGTAGCCACAGGAGTGGACTCTGGCGAGGAGAACTAGAAGCCGAAGCGCTGAAGGACCTGCTGCACCATGTGTGACTGAGTCACGGTAATGGTGCAGCGTGCTCTGTCCCGGGTGATCTGCAAGCCAAGGTAACTGCGCAGTTCACCCAGGTCTGTGCACGTGTGTATCTTCTGCATCTTCGACTTCACACGAGCGAGTGCCTCCGTGTCAGCAGTGGCAAAGACCAAGTCGTCGACGTACACGAGGATGTAGAACGGCCGCAGCGAGGTGTCGGTGCGCAGAAACAGCGACGGGTCAGCAGTAGAAGGAGCAAACCCAAGAGCCGCAAGTGTCATCCTCAGTGTGTCGTGCCACTCACGCAGTGCCTGACGGAGACCGTAGACTGGCCGGCGGAGGCTCCACTGGGTACCAGGAGGGAACGACCCAGTGAAGCCAGGAGGCCGGCGCAGCCAGATCTTCTAGTGCAGACTGCCCTGTAAGGAAGCCGTGCTGAAGTCAAGAGAGTGAAGCTCGTAGTCACGCTGAGCAGCAACGTGCAGCAGTACCCGAAGAGTGGTCATCTTCGGGGTGGGGGAGAAGGTGTGGAAGAAGTCAACTCCCTGTCGCTGACTGAAGCCTCGTGCAATGCAACGAGCCTTGAAGACAGGCGGAGAACCCGGCGGCCGCTTCACCCTGAAAATCCACATGCCATCGACGATGTTCGCCCGAGGAGGGGGAACCTCGTCGACCTAAGTGCCTGTGGACTTCCAGGATGCCATCTCTGCGTCCATGGCTGTCTGCCACTGAGAGGAGTAAGGACCGGAAATTGCCTCTGCGTAAGAGCACGGGGTCGGGATGTCTGGTGTATCCGGATCTCCCTCAGGGGCAAGCAGCATGGCCACGAGATGAGGGGTTGTGGCCGCAAGACACTCGAGCTCCTCTTGCCTGTCCTCAAGGACGTCCGAGCCAAGAGCACACTCACCTCCGACGGCCGGAGGACAGACAGACTCAGAGTCAGCAACAAGACTAGCAGCGTAGTCTAGACGACAGGCAGCAGCAAAGTCAACAAGCTCAGCAACTAAGGCAGACGCAGCAGCAGACTCAAACGACGGGTCAGTGACAACAGTGGCTAGTAGACGCGTGACAGTATGGTGAGCAGCACGAGCGCGGTCAGACTCATGGTCTGGAACGTCAGGCAGAGAAGATGCAGGAGGGGACGGCAGGGGAACACGCTGCGGAGCAGAGGAAGGACGCAGGGCCATGAGGTGTGTGCCGGGGACAGCCGGCGGACGCTCACGAGGAACACGACGACCAGTACGACCAGTGCGGACAGTGGGAACAGGCGAGACAGGACGAGACCCAGGCGCACGACGCTTAGTAAGACCTCCTGTCTGCTCTGTGTAAGGAGAAGGAGCAGGAAGCAGTGAGCCAGGCTGTAACGGAAGATCAGTAGAAGACGGGAGGCTAAGAACCTGGCGAAGCTCGGAGTCAGGCGGTGGCAGAGACGAAGGTGATAGCGGAGCGAAGAACAGGAGCGGCTGTGCAGTGCCACCAGCACCAGTAGCTCCAGCACCACCTGCAGCTCCAGAACCTTCAGCACCAGTACCCCCAGCAGCTCCAGAACCTCCAGCACCAGCACCTCCAGTACTATCACCTCCAGCAGCTCCAGAACCTCCAGCTCCAGCGCCACCAGCGCCAGCACCTCCAGTACTAGCACCACCAGCAGCAGCACCCCCAGAACCGGCACCTCCAGCCCCAGGGTCTCTAGTCGCAGTGTCCCCAACAGCAGCACCCCCAGAACCAGCACCTCCAACTCCAGGGTCTCCAACCTCAGAGTCGACAGCATCACCTCCAGGTCCAGCAGTACCTCCAGCCCCAGCAGCTCCAGTACCTCAAGTACGAGCACTTCCGGGACCAGCGGCTCCAGTAACTCCAGTAGAAACACCTCCAGTAGCAGGGGCACCAGCTCCAGCGCCTCCAACGCCAGCGCCTCCCGCAGCAGGGCCCCCAGCTCCAGCAGCGCGACCTTGACGGCTAACGTACCACTCACGCAGCTGCTGCGGGGAGAGAGGGAGACGCCGACGAGAGTGCAGCGGCGAGGCATCAGCGGAGCGACTACGGAGACGGCCGCTCCAAGGAGACTGCTCACCAGACGCCACAGTGCCCCCAGGCGCAGCACCCCCAGACTCAGTACCCCAAGGCTCAGCACCCCCGGACTCCTCACGCCCAGGCTCAGCACCTCCAGGCTCCGCACCCTCAGGCTCAGCACCCCCAGGCTCAGCACCCCCAGGCTCCTCACGCTCAGGCTCAGAACCTCCAGGCTCCGCACCCTCAGGCTCAGCACCCCCAGGCTCCGCACCCCCAGGCTCAGCACCCCCAGAAGCAGCACCCCGAGCAGGACCACCCCGAGCAGGACCTGAGTCACCAGTGACCTCAACCGGCTCAGTCAAGGGAGAAGGGTCTACGTGAGACACACCTGAAGGAGCAGGACCTGGAGCAGGGAGGGGGTCTACCTAGGGAGGATCTGGAGCGAGAAAGAGCGGCGGGGGGGGGAGAGGGGCAGTGCGGAAGGGAAAAAGACGGTATAAGGGGACCGCCTCGGCAAAGGTGACGTTCTGAGACGCAAAGACACGGTGCGAGGCGGGGTCGTAAAACGGCGCGAGACCCGGATGCACTGGACATCCCGACCCCGCGCTCTGATTCCATGTCGAGAGTAAAGGGAAGAAAAGGTGTTTGACTATCGAGAGAGTTGGGTACAAGTAACAAACCCTATACCCTACATTGGCTACCCCACTACAGCCTACATATCATTATAACATGTACATAGAGTTTGACAATACCCGTATTTCCCCGGATATAAGACCCTAGGGTCTTATGCTAAATCCCTAGAAAAAATGGGGGGGGGGGGGGGGGTCTTAACAAAGGAAAAAAAATATATGATACTCGGGTCTTTTCATACTGAAGTTGTGGGTTTGCTTTTGGTGAGCACCATGACAGCGAAAGTGATCGCTTGACCATTCACAACAAATTCGCCTGTCACAGTAAATTTCGCCCCTCTGACGCAGCAATTTCGGCCCCTGACACAGCAATTTTGCCACCTGACGCAACAGTTTCGCCCCCTGATGCGGCAAACTCGCCTCTTGACGCAGCAAATCAACCCCCTGACCAGGGCTCTGGTTATCAGAGCAAATCGGTCTGATGGTCTGAAAATCAGACCTGATTTCTTTGTTTCATCTGATCTTCCAGACCATAGTTTTTTTTTCATCTGAACCACAAGACGAATGATTTTATTTCGTCTGAAAAAAATGACTAAGTGTTATATTCCTTCTGAAAAATCAGAAAGCGCGTACAATTTCATCTGATACCGAGAAAGTACCGTACTGGCCTGCCCCCTCCCCCTCCCACCCCCCCCTTCCCCTCAGTCCCCCCTGCCCTAAGTCCCGTCCCTCACGCGCTTCTCCTAACCCAACCTCACCACCAAGTCACCCCTCTACCAGCCCAGCCTCTCGCTGCGCAACCCCAGTCCATCCCCCCTTCCCCCGCCTAGCTCCCCTACACCTTTCCCAGCCCAGCCCCCTTCCCCTCAAGTCCCTCCACCCCCCTGGTCCGTCGCGTAAGACACGGACCCACCCATGCATGTCCCTCGCAGCCCAACTTCCCCCCCCCCCCCCCCAGTCCCCCTAGGCGCCCAACTTGCTATGACTGTCTGCTAACAGGTTGTCAACGTCGCGCATTCATTTCGTACTTCGTAAAGACTGAATCATACCGTTTTCATGGCTGACTAGTGTAATACAGCAAACAGACCATGGAAAACATTTTGTCTTATGAATCAGACTAAGCTCCAACTTTCGTCTGAAAAAACAGACTTTTTTTTTTGCCCGTCTGAACGTCAGACAAAACGATTTTTTGGGGGGGGGACTTCAGACAGGCCTAAATCCTAGCAAGAGCCCTGCCCCTGACACGGGAATTCACCCCCGAAAGCCGAATTCACACTATAAAATGTTTCAGTTTCAAATGAAACAAAGAAAGAATACAAGGAAAACCCCTCTATAGGGGAAAGCGGGGGGGTCTTACTGTATATTGATCACCCCCCAAAAGGGGGGTATAACGAAATCGAGGTTTAATAAAAGACCCCCCCCCCGGTATTACCGTAGGTACCCGGGGGTGTTGTATTTTGGGGGGGTCTTCTATCCGGGGGAATACGGTACAAATGGGTATACCGAATGTAGGAACTCATACCCTCTACAGTAGAACCCATCCTGGCCCTATACATACACGTACGAATGGGTATGTGTATGTTGACAGCAACAACACCTTGTTCCCCGCAACTATTTTTCGGCTAAAAAAGCATTGCTTATTGAACTCTCGCCAGCCCAGATCCAGATATGGCCCCTAAATATAAGGCCAGTCACATTGTCCAAGTTCTACCCTATGAACCATAACCAGTCAGCAGTCACCTTGCTTCACAACAAATGGGTTCACTGCACGTGCAGAACGGTCTTCCAGAGCTCATCCACCCATTGAACCCGTACCGTAACACATGCACCTTAGGAGCTCGCCGCTTCTGCTGCACCCTCTCCTCTTCCTGCCCCTGCTGCTTTGATCCCACACGCACACCCATGCAGCAGCCACCCTGCTGCTGCTTCTTCTGTGCGGCGCCACTGTCGCTGCCACTGCTACCTCCCTGCTGCTGTTGCTGTTGCTGCTCCTGGTGATGACTCACATAGATGTTGGCACATTTGGGACCACGCACCTGAGACAGGCAAGACAAGCAGTACACAGGGAGACAGGGGTGGGTAAGGGACTTGTGGACCGAGTTGAAGGTCATACGCGCCAAAAAGAGTACATACAAACATGACAACAGGGGTGTGAACAAGGGTAGGGACAGCTGGTTGACAAGCACCAGTATGGAGAGAGGAGTGGCTTAACTGCTGTAAGCAGGAGGAAGCAGAGAGGTGACAATGAGAAAGACACTCACATGGGAACAACCGAGTGAGCATGCATGGCATGAAGGCACTGGAGCAGTGATGGCATGAAGGCACTGGAGCAGTGATGGCATGAAGGCACTGGAGCAGTGATGCATGAAAGGAGGAAATGAGATGGGGGAGGGCCGCGGGGGTTGGGGGGAGGGGGGTTGAGGAACGGGAGATGCACCGAGGGGATGGTGGTGGCCGAGGTGGGAGAATGAATAGCAATGGAGACCTGAGAGAGGCGAGCGAGGTGAGCAAGACGGAAGTGACTAGGGAGATGAGAGAGAGAAGAGGGACACGAGGGAGAGCAGAGAGCAGGAAGAGCGAGAAGAGAGAGGTGAGGGAGGAGCGCACCTGGGAGAGGGCGCAGTGGAAGACGACAGCATCGTGGTTGGAGAGGCGTGTGGCGAGGTGCGGCAGGTGGTCGCGGAAGGTCTCACTGGGTGCATGCACGCTGCCGTGAATGTGCCCGTCCATCTGCCTCTCCTCGTCCCTGCTCGCGGAAGGGGGAGAAGGGTCTGTTTTTGAGTCGACTCAAAAGCAGGTGGTCACGGAAGGTCTCGCTGGGGGCGTGCACACTGCCGTGAATGTGCCCATCCATCTGCCTCTCCTCGTCCCTGCTCGCACTCCCGCGGAGGAGGGGTGGGAGTGGGGAAACGGGGGGAGTGAGTGGCATGTGGCACCATGTGTGGGCTGGGTTCAAGGTGAGGTAGGAGGAAGGAAGGCAAAGCGAGGGGGGGGGGAGGGGAAGGGAGGGGAGGGTGGGGAGGGGAAGGGAGGGAACAGGAGGATTAGGATTTTTTCTGTTGAAAGCAAGTGCAAATCAATTGGCAAGGGTCGGGGAAATGATGGAGGTGCACGAGGTGCTGCGCGGTGCTATACAGTCTTCCACCTACCCCGCCTTCTAACGGGCACTTGCCTCGTTATAGAGGCTGAAAAGTACGCCACTGACAATATAACCCCAAGGCACCCTGCTCGTTACGAATGAAGAAGTACCCCCAGTCTTGACAACCGTAAAGCTAGAGGTAGCTAAGCATTCGAACTGACTTATAGAGTCCCGTCAGATCAATTTAGCTGAATTCAGAGTAGTAAGGCATGTGGTGGTGTTTTTGCCATGGTGCTTATCGCTTGCAATCACGTGTCACTCACACGCGTTGCGAAACACTCGTTTGAACGAGCGAACGAGCAAGCGAGCGAGCCAACGGAACCAAACGCGTGGCACGGGGGAGTGGAGAAAAGAAAGCGGAAACTCCCGCTGCGAGCACAGCCGACACGCTGATCGCGCCTCACCTCACATCAACAACCGCGATGCGCTTCGATCGGTCCGCTGCCAGGCGCTCGAACTCCTCCGCGCTCAGGTACGTGACGTGCGCCATGCGCGCTGCCGCCGCTGCGCGGCGCGAGTGCTGGCGGAGGGACGAAGCGGCTGCGCAATACGCACGCGCGCGAGGGTAACGCGGAAAGAGTGGAAACCGGCAGAACGCGAGACAGCGGTGCGAGCGAGCAGGGAAGTGGAGAGTACGTGAGGCGGAGGCTGCTCGGGTTGGACGATCACTAGGAACTGCGCGTGTCCCGCTCCTGATTGCAGGGGGCGGGCAGGGAGTTGGTATCATAAGAAGAGTACCTAGAAATATTCGCTTGTGGTGCAGAGAGAAGTCTTCACATGTGTAACGGATCCAGTGTCATATTGTTCACTTACAGTAACGCGTATGGTTTCTCTCGTTCATACGGTCGGAATTCTCGCGAATTCGTTAGTTACCACCGTTCTTCGTTGCTTTGTCAAGCTCCTCTGGCACGAGGCTGTGAGTGCAAGATTTAAAAAATCTCCCATACCCACACAATTCTCCATAGATTTTACGAGATCCTAGTTCCTTCAAAGCGAGTAGAGAGCGACCCATCAGCCCAGCTTAAATTTTTCCCGGAGTAGTATTCTATCGTAGTATTTCCCTACGAGCTCGGCGCGCTCGCCATTTCCGCCGCATTCATTCAAAATGTTGCTTCACACTCACACCCCGTCCGCCCCCGCCCTCTCCCACGCCTTCCCTGCCCGCAACACCTACCGTTCCCCGTCCCACTCCCATACGCTGCGCATTGCTTCGCATTCCCCTCTCCCCCTCACCGCACCCGCCAACCGCGGCGTCGTTTCCGCGTCTGCCTCCGCCAAGCCGTCCGCGCGCGCTACAGCCGGCCCGTCAACCGCCGACAGCTCCGGTGGCGGGAAGGATTTCTTCGAGTCGGACGTAGTGCGCTACGGCGACCGTTACAATCGCCCGGACCGCTTCCCGCGCCTGCGAGTCGCGGACGCGAGGCAGCGACAGGTGGACGTCAGGGATTGGTTGCAGCGGCTGCGCGTAAGCGCCCGCGACGTCTTTATATGGGACGAAGGGCGGGATAGTAGCGAAGGTGCTGCTTTACAAGCAGAGAACCACAATAGAATTGATAGAGATAATAACGAGGGCGCCGTGGAGGGGGAAGGTGCAGGCGCGGCGGCAGCGGCGTTCCGTCTGCTGGTGGCGCAGGGACGACTGGACGAGGCGTTTCTCGCAGCGAGGGAAGCCATGACGCAGGGACGCGCGACGTTCGCGTTTGAGCCCGTGACGCTGCTGCAGCCCGCTAGAAGCAACAGGTGAGTCATGAATGGATGAACGCGTTGCGTGCAAGCAAATCGTGTCGCACTCACGTTCCTACCTATAGAGCCTTCAACCCACCGCACTCTCACTCTTTCTCTCTCTTCCCCCACACTCCTCCCCACAACACGCAATGCACTTGTTCTATCGGCCCGGTTGAAGCGGCACCGCTGCACTTCCTTCCAACCACGCCTCCGCCCCCTCGCTCTCTTTCCGCTCCTCTCATCCGCCCCCACTGCCCAATCCTCTCTTCCCCACCCCACCCCATCCCCACACGGCACTTGCACCTGTCTATGCCCGTCTCCTGCTCTACTGAACTTGTTCTGGAACGTCGCATAACTGTTCTATCATCACGTGCCCAATCCCACACCGCTCCTGCCTATAGCCGTCTCTTGCTCTTCGGCCCCCCTGCGACCTCCCCCCGCCCTCTCCTCTTCTCCGCGCCCAGCAGCAGTGCAGCAGCAGACCACGGGGCGTTCATGCTGGCAGCCGTGGAGAGCGGCAACGTGGAGCTCGCCTTTGAATACGCCGGCCTGCTGCCGCCCGCTCCCTCCCCGCCCTCCTCCTCTTCCTCCTCCTCCTCCTCCTCCTCCTCCTCCTCCTCCTCCTCCTCCTCCTCCTCCTCCTCCTCCTCCTCCTCCTCCTCCTCCTCCTCCTCGTCCTCCTCCCCCACCACACCGCTGCCCCGGGCGGCCATGGCGATATACAACATGCTGCTGGCGGCGTACGTGGTGGCGGGAGACAGCAGCGCCATGCAGCTGGCTGTCAACACCGCCCGGCGCCGCGGGATCGCTCCTGATGGGCTCACGTCCGCGCTGCTGCTCGCCGCTGCTCTGCTGCACGGAGGCGAGGTGAGTGGGGTGAGTGGGGTGAGTGGGATGTGTGGTTCTGAGGCTGGTTGTTGTGAGGCGCATCACGAACAGTTGCACCTGCCGCTGTGCTGCATGGGGTTACGAGGTGTGAGTGGGAGCAGTGGCCGCAGTTGGGGTAATGACGGGAGAAGATAGCAACGCTGTGCTGCTGTCAACATGGCTCGACTCAACTCAACTGCTCATGCTGCAGCAGCTGCCGCTGAGGCTGCTGTTGGGCTACTGCTTGGAGCAGTGCAGGTGGGCAGGGAGAGACTTACCCATCTGTGTGAATCCAAATGGGTAAGTCCCTTCCTGCCAGTCGTTGTAGAGTGAGGAGGTGCTCCCTTTCTGCTCTTGCTCCCACGCGCCCCAGGCAGCAGCAATCATGCTTTTGGCTGGTTGGGTCGCAGCTCAACACCACTCAATCAATCACCCTTTTGTTGGATCTGCATCTTCCCGCCTCCCCATCTCCCCTCCATCTGCCCAGCCGCACATAGCGATACTCGTGACGACACGCTTATGTGTTTTCAGAGGCACCTAAGGGAGCGACCTTAGTGCATGACCTCTGTTCAACTCAACTCATAGGTCACTGCAACATGTCTTCCTACGTCATCCCTCACGCTCCAATTACCTCAGTCCTCCCATCTGTTTCAACTTCCAAACCACCTCCCAATCACCCCTGTTCCACAAAATCTCCCCTTTTCTTTCACCCTATCCCCCTCTCGCACCCTCCCCTGTCCTTCCCCTTTTTTTCCCACCCACCCAACCTGTTGCTGGCAGGGTGGCACTGATGGGTTATCACAGCAGCAGCGGCGGCGGGAGATATTTGAGAGTGCATGTGAGCAGGGGCTGGTGAGGCCAGGAGTCACACTGGAGCAAGCAGTTGCTGCTTGCTCTGTGCCCCTTGTGTGAGCTTCGGTACCTATGAGTGACAGGGCGAGTGGAGGGAGATTGTTTTCTCTCAGATACCGTACGACTGCTGGTTACCTGTACGATTTTTTTTTTAATATTATTGATGATGCAGTGCAATACCCGTCGCTACTACGATACCCTCATCCATCCGTGGCTGGTGATGTCATTGTGTTACAACCGTGAGAAGTCGGAGGAGGGAAGCAGACATACAGGGCACAAGGAAGAAGAGGGAGCTTTGATTATACAAAGTGATTACGTTATGCTTACGGGTATGTTACGGTATGTTTCATCCAGCCTGGTAAAAGAACCGAAAACCTCATTAAAATTGGTGGAGTCAGTATGCATCTGTCGATTCTTTATGCACGTCGAGAAAAAATATCACGAGGGTCTCTGATTGTCTGAGAGTCCTGTATGTGATTACTGTTTGTTGGAAATCCGAATACAGTATAACGAATACTGTATACCAGTGTGCTGTTTGGTTTTAGTGTAGTCCTCTTTATAAGCCTCTAGGTCCTACAATAATTGTCACAATTATTGTAGGGGCCACAATTATTGGAGCCCAGCATTACCGTATGGCCCCGGATATAGGCGCCGACCTATTACAGGCGCCGGCGCTTCTATCTGGAGCATGGCGCTTATGGCCGATCCTCGATTATAAGCGCCCCCCCTGGAAAACCATTACATATTATAAGCGCCGTGTGCAATTTTCATTTGAATATCAGTTTAAATCGGTAACGAATTTCAGTTTTGCAGCGAGTCGAATTTCATTTTCGCTTTGTTTGACTCGCAAAGACCTGACTGTCTGCGCGTCCAGTCAGGATGTGCTGGCATGCCTGCAAAGTGACGCGAATTTGCCCGTGTACAGGAAGCAGAATCGCTTGCGCGCGATTCTGCTTTGTGACGCTATAATAGTTCGACTCGTTTGAAATGGCTACAACGAAAGGTACAGTTTGGTACCTTTAAAGATAAAAATTGTATTTGTCATTATATAAGCGCCGGCGCTTATGGCCGTTCCTCAATTACAAGCGCCACCCTTGAAAAAAAAAAACTTATTATAAGCGCATATGCGCTTTTATCCGGGGCCATACGGTATTAGAGGGTAGAGGGTACAATTATTGGTACACCATTATTGGTGTGAATGGGTCATTCTGGAGGGGTAGCTGGATGCATATATACCCTGCTGTGTCACATCATTGAGTCGTCATTGTGTTATCATTCTACTTTTCAATGATCAATGCAAGATTTATATCTTGTTCTTTTCTACAAACACGTTTCCGCTACGCTGGCACTATGCCTTTCTAGCATGGTATCAGAGCTACTCTAGGGGGCATGCTACCAAAACTGGTTCAGGAATATACTGGCATACAGTTTGGATAGGTACCTGCATACAGTCGGAGTACCGCACACCCGGTCTACGCTTTCGTACACCTGGTGTTCGCTGTTGGTTACAACCGCGCGTTTACCGCACACTTGGTGGACGGTTTTGTCAAGGTCATGGCGCACTTCGATGGCGAAGTGGATCCTGGATATGCGGCTTTTGAAGGAGCCATCACGGCTCAGCATGAGCACCTGGAAAGCATGATTGTAAGGGCACCACCAACACTCCAAGCTTCGTTATGGGACAAGTTTGGAATGACAATCCAGCCAAGGACAATGTTCTCTCATGAGTCCAGCAATCCATCCACCCGTGGACACTCTCATTCAAGCACTCCGCGTACTAACCAAAACCGTGCATCAAATGTTCATGCAGGAATTGATGGTGAAGGGGAAATCGGCATACCTCAAGGAGGAGAGTCATCCCAAGAGAGGGATGCATCCGTCCAAGGAGAGGAGAGCGCCAATCCCGCACCTCAATCATCCATGCAAAAGGAATCAAGGGGGAGGAATGATGAGTATGGGAGTGCAGTGCATGGTGGAATGAGAAGTGGACAGATTGGGCAGCAGGGTGACGGAAATGGTCAAGTGGGTGTGGAAGGTGTGGGTTTTGCCTCCTACACTATTGGTGCTCCCCCACTACGACGACTTGCGACTAACTCCCATCCCATTGGAGTTCCTCCCATGGTCAGGACTCACCTTCGTGGCGGTAATGTCATACCTCCGCGTGCACCTCGTCCACCGATTGGAGTACATTCTGTGGACAGCATGGGGCGGATGGGATACGGCAGTCAAGTGGTGTCATGCGACGGGATCAAGTGGAAGTGCTGGAACGTCAACTTGGTGGACAGAATGGGGACATGCAGCGCACGGTTCAGCTACCTCGACCGTCAACCGTGCCTACTCTCTTCGGCCCCGCTCCACGTGAATACACGGAAGAAGACAAGGAACCTGTGAGTGACAGGGCGAGTGGAGGGAGATTGTTTTCTCTCAGATACCGTACGACTGCTGGTTACCTGTATGATTTTTTTTTTATATTATTGATGATGCAGTGCAATACCCGTCGCTACTACGATACCCTCATCCATCCGTGGCTGGTGATGTCATTGTGTTACAACCGTGAGAAGTCGGAGGAGGGAAGCAGACATACAGGGCACAAGGAAGAAGAGGGAGCTTTGATTATACAAAGTGATTACGTTATGCTTACGGGTATGTTACGGTATGTTTCATCCAGCCTGGTAAAAGAACCGAAAACCTCATTAAAATTGGTGGAGTCAGTATGCATCTGTCGATTCTTTATGCACGTCGAGAAAAAATATCACGAGGGTCTCTGATTGTCTGAGAGTCCTGTATGTGATTACTGTTTGTTGGAAATCCGAATACAGTATAACGAATACTGTATACCAGTGTGCTGTTTGGTTTTAGTGTAGTCCTCTTTATAAGCCTCTAGGTCCTACAATAATTGTCACAATTATTGTAGGGGCCACAATTATTGGAGCCCAGCATTACCGTATGGCCCCGGATATAGGCGCCGACCTATTACAGGCGCCGGCGCTTCTATCTGGAGCATGGCGCTTATGGCCGATCCTCGATTATAAGCGCCCCCCCTGGAAAACCATTACATATTATAAGCGCCGTGTGCAATTTTCATTTGAATATCAGTTTAAATCGGTAACGAATTTCAGTTTTGCAGCGAGTCGAATTTCATTTTCGCTTTGTTTGACTCGCGAAGACCTGACTGTCTGCGCGTCCAGTCAGGATGTGCTGGCATGCCTGCAAAGTGACGCGAATTTGCCCGTGTACAGGAAGCAGAATCTCTTGCGCGCGATTCTGCTTTGTGACGCTATAACAGTTCGACTCGTTTGAAATGGCTACAACGAAAGGTACAGTTTGGTACCTTTAAAGATAAAAGTTGTATTTGTCATTATATAAGCGCCGGCGCTTATGGCCGTTCCTCAATTACAAGCGCCACCCTTGAAAAAAAAAAACTTATTATAAGCGCATATGCGCTTTTATCCGGGGCCATACGGTATTAGAGGGTAGAGGGTACAATTATTGGTACACCATTATTGGTGTGAATGGGTCATTCTGGAGGGGTAGCTGGATGCATATATACCCTGCTGTGTCACATCATTGAGTCGTCATTGTGTTATCATTCTACTTTTCAATGATCAATGCAAGATTTATATCTTGTTCTTTTCTACAAACACGTTTCCGCTACGCTGGCACTATGCCTTTCTAGCATGGTATCAGAGCTATTCTAGGGGGCATGCTGCCAAAACTGGTTCAGGAATATACTGGCATACAGTTTGGATAGGTACCTACATACAGTCGGAGTACCGCACACCCGGTCTACGCTTTCGTACACCTGGTGTTCGCTGTTGGTTACAACCGCGCGTTTACCGCACACTTGGTGGACGGTTTTGTCAAGGTCATGGCGCACTTCGATGGCGAAGTGGATCCTGGATATGCGGCTTTTGAAGGAGCCATCACGGCTCAGCATGAGCACCTGGAAAGCATGATTGCAAGGGCACCACCAACACTCCAAGCTTCGTTATGGGACAAGTTTGGAATGACAATCCAGCCAAGGACAATGTTCTCTCATGAGTCCAGCAATCCATCCACCCGTGGGCACTCTCATTCAAGCACTCCGCGTACTAACCAAAACCGTGCATCAAATGTTCATGCAGGAATTGATGGTGAAGGGGAAATCGGCATACCTCAAGGAGGAGAGTCATCCCAAGAGAGGGATGCATCCGTCCAAGGAGAGGAGAGCGCCAATCCCGCACCTCAATCATCCATGCAAAAGGAATCAAGGGGGAGGAATGATGAGTATGGGAGTGCAGTGCATGGTGGAATGAGAAGTGGACAGATTGGGCAGCAGGGTGACGGAAATGGTCAAGTGGGTGTGGAAGGTGTGGGTTTTGCCTCCTACACTATTGGTGCTCCCCCACTACGACGACTTGCGACTAACTCCCATCCCATTGGAGTTCCTCCCATGGTCAGGACTCACCTTCGTGGCGGTAATGTCATACCTCCGCGTGCACCTCGTCCACCGATTGGAGTACATTCTGTGGACAGCATGGGGCGGATGGGATACGGAATGCAGTCAAGTGGTGTCATGCGACGGGATCAAGTGGAAGTGCTGGAACGTCAACTTGGTGGATAGAATGGGGACATGCAGCGCACGGTTCAGCTACCTCGACCGTCAACCGTGCCTACTCTCTTCGGCCCCGCTCCACGTGAATACACGGAAGAAGACAAGGAACGGCTGTCACGCAAAATGGTGGGAGCAACGGTGGACAAAGCGTTCACCACTACTCCGTTTGATGGCTCGAACTTCCGAGAGTGGGCACTACGGTTTCGTATGAATGCTCGCGTCACGAATCTGTGGGAGTTCTTTGTGACCCTGCAGTATCCGGTTGCCATGGGAGAGGGTGACATTGACGACGCTATGGGGCGGCTTGAAATGCTACAGGCGGATTACTCACAGCGTGCGGCACTCGCTTTTTGGGTACTGCTGCACAGCGTGAGCGCCACGATTCAGCTGCAGCTGGACATGTTCCATGAATCCTATAGTCCTGCTTATGAAGCATGGGAGTACTTAATGGATATTTACCATGCCAAAGATTCGGTGGCGAAGGTCTCTCTCATGAAGCAGCTGGACAACCTAAAAATGGGGTATGCGGAAAGGGTGGAGGAGTACGTGAACCGCGCAACGGCAATCCGGGACAAGTTAGCACTCGCGGGGAAGATGGTGGATGAGGACACATTCACCTTAAAGCTCAAGGCCCAAATTGTTCAACCTTAGTAAGGTTGCCCTTGGGGTATCGAGAGAGGAACGTTGACTTTTTTTAAGTTGGGCTCGTCAGTTTCGCCCAGCTTCGCGCTAGGCTTTCGCTGACTCAGCAAACCCCAGGGCAACTCAATTTGGTTGTCGAAGTCCCAAATTGCACTCACAATATTCTTGGTGTTTCATTCTCTCCCATTGGACAAAAAAACTGCTGGCCAATCACACAGCATCGCACTTCTCGTAACCACAATTCGCAACCAAACAACCCCCACAACACCACTCTGATCAACTTTAGTAAGCTTGCCCCGCGCGCTCTGCAATTTGGGCCTTGAGCTTTAAATCTGCTCACCGGACTACTGGCGCATTGGGAGGAAATGAGGCACTCGGCAATGCTACACAACGTGACGGACAGTTTCACCTTGCAGCGGATGATGATTCAAGAGCAGAGGTATCACGACCTCATCATGAAGGATAACCGTGACCGGCGTCCACCTCGCATGGTTGGGCAAGCACGTGGAGACCACTCACCTTCTCCAACTGCTAAGGGCAATAGCGGGAAGGAGGGGTCCATTGGGGAGAAAACGCATGGCAAGGATGGAAATGCAAGCCGCTCATCTCTCGTGTGTTGGTACTGCAAGGAGCCAGGCCATCCTTTCTTCACGTGTACCAAGGCACCCCCTGGCTGGACACCACCAGGGTGGGAACCGCATACCCGCGGAAAGGCAAATCTGCACACCAGCGACAGCCGTTCGTCCTCCCCACGAAGGAGTCGCAGCCCCAAGCGTGACAATAATGCGTCAAAACAGCAACGGGCAGCCGGGGAAGACAAGCAACGTACTGTTACGTGCATTGCAACGGTGGGATCGTCACAAGCTACCTTACCACCAGCTAAAGCGTCATCGTGGTTGCTGGACAGTGGATGCAGCCAGCACATGACCTCGGAGAAGCGCTGGTTTGAAGAGTTAAGGGAGCTGGACGAACCTGTTTATAGGGAGCTCGCTAATGGGAGCGAGCTGAGCAGCACGATGACAGGAACGATCAGAGCAATGGCACCTGATGGGACAACGGTTCGCTACACTGAAGTCCTTTACGTACCTGGTCTGAAGAGCAACCTGCTCTCCTATTGTCAGCTGCTGAAAAAGGGAGCGCCCATCAATACCATTACTAATGGAGACACCGAGATCACCATGACTGATGGAGAGGAGTACGTGCAGATTGGACTTGCCAAGAACGTGGATGGAGTGCTCGTGGTGCAGTATGCGCATGCACTTACGTCCGCCGATGATCCTGGACATTCCCGTGATGGCGCGTCATCGAATCCGGTTGATCGTGAAGGGGTTACCCTTTTCCGCACACCTGGTGTGCACATTGACGCACATGAGAGCACGGATTTCCGCACACCTGGGATGCACTCGAGTGGCAAGTCTGCACATGCATCTGTCACCTACCGCATGGCACACAAAGCATGCGTCGTGCGGAAGCAGGCACATGATGATACCACGGATGAAGTCTCACCCCACAGTGTTGTGTGGACTTCAGGGGGAGAAGGGAAAAGGTCCGCGGTGGATTCGGGAGGCGCTGGAGCAGACCTTGTAGAACAGGACTCACCTGCAGCTGATGAAGTCAGTGCAGCTGAAGGAAGCGGAGGCATAGCTGATGACTTACCTGCAGCAGGTGTCTCCATTTCGGAAGGCGTGGAAAATGATGATGTGGGAAATAAGGTGGACAAGTCGAGCAAGCAGCATCTCACTTGCGGTCTGCTGAATGGTCTGCTGAGGAATCATCAAGACAAGGGAGCTGCTGTTGTACGCACCTGTGTGGCCTCTTCGAGCTGTGCTGCACAACACAGCATCACCTAACTCCACACTCACTCATGTGCTTGTAGCTGTGTACGCGGATGACTACAAGCACATGGGTGGGGCGGGGTGGGGTGTGAAGTGTATCTGGTGGCACAGGAGTGGGATATGGAGTCAAGGAGCATAAGGGGAAGACCTACTCACCAAGGGTTGCCAATAAGCAGGGGGAGCAGGCAGAAAGGATGCAACCGATCGGCGTCATCCGTCGTGATGAAGCGGTATCGTGCGATTGGTTGCTGCAGATAAACGACACCATCTGGGGGAAGGATGGAGAACATACACGGGAACACGCATCACTGCATACCTGGTGTGCACATTTCTCCATACTTGGTATGCACATCTCGGCATACTTGGTGTGCACTGCACACATGGAGTGGACATTTCTGCATATATGGAGTGCAGATTTCTGGGATACTTGGAGTTCGTCGGCATACCCTCCAGCTGATGGAGTTCGGCAACTCCGGCTGCTACCGTGTGTCTGCTGGAGTGTATGGGGAGCATCACAGGGCAACATGGGTGAAGTTTGAGCGGTATATGCATCATCCTTTGGATTCAAGACATAGACAACCTTGTGCCATCACAGCACGGGGCAGGGGGAGAAAGGCAAGGTTTACGGAAACTGGCAGGGGAGAAAGGTTCATGAAGATGCAGCAGGCACGGACAGGAAATTGCAGCAGCACGCACCAGATTGTCAGCTGCTGACGAACGCAAGGTCGTCGCTTCTATCACGCGAAGTGTGCGCCCGCCAATGCAGTTCCGCGCCAGCCGTACGCCATGCGTTATCCGCTACCGATTCGCGTCATCCGCAGCTGCAGTCGTCGCAGACGCGCATCCACTGCGGTTTCGCGTCGTCGCACAGGAGGCGTGCGAAAAAAGATTGCAGCACTGACAATCGCGTGTCGTAAAGTCTACGGTTTCGGAAATTCGGCGTGCGCTAAGGGCATTCCGCCATGACGATACGCGCATTCCGCCATGGTTACAAGGAGATTTCGCCATGGAGCTGCTACGATTTCGTCAGCAGCAGCGACTACTCTCTAGATCTCGATCTAGAATGTCGAGATTGGAAGGAGGGAATGGAAAACGTAAAGGCATGTGGTTTGGTTGGACTTTGGAAGGCCCAAAGGTTGGGAGGGGAAAAGTGCTACAGTGACAAGCAGCTTGGCCAACACCAAACCCTAGCTTGGTTTGGACGCACCCCTAACTTGTGGTGGTACACCACCTCGACCACCCTATCCTCCAAGGAAAACGGATTCACTAAAACCTACAGCAAGGGGGAGTGTTGGAAATCCGAATACAGTATAACGAATACTGTATACCAGTGTGCTGTTTAGTTTTAGTTTAGTCCTCTTTATAAGCCTCCAGCTCCTACAATAATTGTCACAATTATTGTAGGGGCCACAATGATTGGAGCCCAGCATTATTAGAGGGTAGAGGGTACAATTATTGGTACACCATTATTGATGTGAATGGGTCATTCTGGAGGGGTAGCTGGATGCATATATACCCTGCTATGTCACATCATTGAGTCGTCATTGTATTATCATTCTACTTTTCAATGATCAATGCAAGATTTATATCTTGTTCTTTTCTACAAACACGTTTCCGCTACGCTGGCACTATGCCCTTCTAACACTGTTTATATATACATGTACGGTTTTAGCACAGAAAACAAATATACAAAAATATGTACATCTGATAGAGCAGTCCCAGCTCAGAAGAGCAGTTGCATGAAAGATCAAAAGAATCTGACCAAACAAATCCCTGGGTTCCTTGCACCTTCTCCATACGGTATGCTTCATTTGTCAAACCAGGCCAAAGCGCCAATGTCCAGCCATGTCTCACTCACTCCCAAGGCCAGCCTGCAGCAGCGGCACTCCCAAGGCCGTTAGAAACCGATGCCACTGCAGCACCCGGTGTCGCCCTCAGCGCCACTGCATCATTAGCAGAAGAATTTCCGTCAAAAGCACCACCACTGGCAAACGCATGACCGGGGAGAACGTTCCTCCCAGAGCCAGCAGCTGTCACGATAACCTTCTCTAACTCCATCACCCGTCGCTCCAGAGAATCAACATAACCCACGGCTCTATCCAGCATAGCGCATGTGTCTCCTCGCCCCCTCACCTTTGCCCTCAGCCTCTGCAGCCCCTCACTGATCCTCTCCCTCCTCCGCCGCTCTGCCATGCTGCGCCTCTTGATCCTCTGGTTCGGCGCCGAACCACCCCGGATGCCTTGGCACCGAGGCAACCACCCGTCGTCCGGGCTGCACTCGCCTTGAGTGTTGCAGTGCTCGCGGCCCTTGGGATAATCCAAAGCATCGTCCGCATAGCACTCGTCGTGCATGTGGTATGCGCGCCCGTTGGTCTCGCTCTCAAACCTCACCGCACGTGCACGCTCATCCCGAGGCGACTTTTGAGTCGGCTCTAAAGCCACGTCGTGTTCCCTTGTGCAAACGCCTTCCAGCACACCCTTCTGGTTGCCCCTCACATCTGGCACCGGGATATGAGGGTCTACAATCATGGCAGCGCCAAGGATAGACGCCCCTACGGCAGGGGGTTCCTCTGGGTTCGGCTGAACAAACGAGGCACTGGCCGGCCCGAGCGCACTCCGGATGTAGCAGGCACGGGGGGTCTGGCTGGGGTGCTGCTGCGGCGTGTGAGCGACTGTAGCGCGGCCAGAGGGACCCCCTGGGCTTGGCCTTTTTCTCCTTTTACCAGCATCGTTCGCTGAGTTGGTGGCAGTGCTGCTGAAAAGGCTACTGCTGATGATGCCGTTTGTGCCTGCCGTCACGTGGCTATTGCGGACCGCTGCTGGGGTACTCATGGCACTGCTGGGGTTGGTGGCACTGCCATGCAGAGCAAACTTGGGGTGACTGCTGCCGCTTCCAATACCGCCACCACCACCGCTACCGCCATCACTGCCACCATGGCTGCTGTTCCTCTCCCCAGCACGTTTTCCCATGCGCCCCCACCCGCCTCCACCACGAGCCAATCGCTCAGTGCCATCTGGACCGTATCTGGGAGCAAACGTGGAAGCAAGGGCGGTCTCCACTTGCTTTGCTGATGCTCCGGCCTCTGGAAGAGCCGAGAAGGCTGAAAGCCAGTGCTCCTCCTCCCCTCCGTCCAGCTGCTGCTGCTGCTGCTGCTGCTCCTGCGGCTGCTGTTGCACTTTCGGTGCCTGGGGGAACCCTGGCTGCTCTTGACTCGCTGCCCTCTGCCCCTTCTGCCACTTGCATAGGCTCTGCTTCTCCTTCTCCTCCTGCTTCAGATTCTCCTTGTGCTTCCGTTTCCGCCTGGATTGCTGCAACAGCTGCGGCTCCTCCGCCTGCTTGAGCGCCCGCAGGAGAGCCATGAGCTGCTGCCTCTCGCCCTTGCTGCTCCCCCCCATCTGCAACCTCGCCATTGCCCCGGTTGACAGCACCGCTTCCCCTGCCCCTGCCCCTGCCCTTGCCTCTGCCTCTGCCCCTGCTTCTGCCTCTGCCTCTGTCTTTGCCTCTGCCTCCCGCTGCTGAACTTCCAGCAGCTGTGCTTCCGGTTCCTGTGCTTGCTGCTGCAGTCGCAGGAAGCGTGCGAGGTGTGAGAGCCCAGCCAGCATGCGCTCAATCTGCACCTCCCCGCTCTCCGCTTTCACCGCAGCACCAGCAGCAGCAGTCCCAACTACAGCAGCAGCAGCAGCAGCAGCTGTAGCCCCAGCAGCAGCAGCAGCACAAGGAGCATCAGCCCCAACAGGCTTATTCGAGTCTGCCAACGCCTCCTCCGCGTGTCCTCCACTCCGACTCGGAGTGATCCCCACACGCACCCCCCTGTCCACGAGCCCTCCCTCTGGCCCACCCACACAAGTCATCAGGGGTTCAATCAGCGGCTGAACCAAAGCTTCAGGCCGCTGCTCCACCAGAGGCTGTATGTGCAGTTCAATCGACGATTCAATGCCGTGCGGCTCTCTCTCGTGAATGCGTTGGCAGCCGAACGGCCAGACACGTCGCCCTGTAGGACGCTGCTCCGGGATCCAACGCTGCGAAGCCGGCGGGAACGTTGTGTGCGGCGGCGGCGGCGGCGGCAGCGGCAGCGGCAGAGGCGCGAGCGGTGCGAGCAGCGCGAGCGGCGAAGGGAGGTCGTCCATAGCGAAGAGAGCAGCAGCGAGAGAGTCCTCTGACGTTGTCGTCGCTCCACCGCCGCTGCTGGTGGTCGCTCCGTCGCAGTTAACCACGACTGTGCTGCTGCTACCGCCGGCCATAACAGTAGAGATGGCGGCTTCAGCCTTGTAGGTAGGAACAGAGCAGGCTGGTAACACCCTGCTGGTAAGCTCGGGTGGACGGGTAGCAAGTGGTTGTATGTAGTAGCAGGAGGAGTAGAGCGACGTGGTCAGGCAAGTAATTGCATTGCACGCCTGGTAGTAGTGAGGTGGTGAGGCGACAGCAGTTGCAGCAGCTCCGGTTTTGCTGCGTGGATTGGAGAATTTGGTGACTGTCGTGGTGGTGTCACCTTAGTATGACGAAGGCCGGTGGAGAATTAAAAGTAGGTAACGCCTTGCGAACTCTTTCAGAGACTCGTAATAGTTGAAGTCAGCGGTTGGGCCTGTGCGGGTTTTTGTTTGTGAAATGGGCAACGGACGATGAAGTGAGGAGAGCCGTCACAAATGTATCAGTAGAAGTCGGCAAAAATGGCACGAAATTAACGGCGAATGCAGAGCTGGTAGGGAAAAATGTTGTTAATCATGGAAGGTTTGAAACGCTTCTATTGCTATGTGATCTTGGGTGTAGTTCGATTTAACCCGGATTTCGCGAGCAACTAACCATTTGCGGGACACGTGAGAGAGTGAGTGAGACGGGGGATGCCGCGTTGCGAGAATGTTTACTGGAGAGTACCACGAATCGTATCCTAACGTGCAGCCGATACTCTTTACTGCGTTTGTTGCAATCGCGGCGCCACACCCATCGCGTGAACCTCCCCCGGACCGGGCCGGGCCGGGAACGGGTGCCCCTCCCCTTCCCGTCCCACACCCACATGATTGAGGGTGCCCCCACGAAGAGCTCTCGCACTCACTGTGACACTCTCGCCTCGCCGCATGTTCTGTTCGCCAGTCAACCGCCATCGCGTGGGATGGGATGGGAGGCACACAACAATGATTCCACCAGCTCGTACTACAGTCCAAACTCCACCGACAGTGGCAAGGCATTCGACTGTATCACATCAGGGATCACGCACGACCTATGTGCGCTGGCAACGCGCACGCGGCAAATCATGATGCAACGCGTTGAAACCTAGATGGTGGTGTGCACTGGAGGCTTAGACTGAAAGCCAGTGAGCTGGAGGGTGTGAGACGAGGAGATAGTGAGCCGGGACGGGAAGCCAGTGAGCTGGAAGCGCCAGCTGGACCCTAGTGGAACGCCGACACGGAAACTACTCTAGAAACCTGAGAGCCCGAGCGAAATTGCAGATCAAGAAAGTATACTGGCGACACGGCAACACAAGGAGATTACCGCATAAGTAATCGGTTTTGTGAGTTTTCGTCCGGCCTACCATACCATGATCACACCACCAACTCTCCCAGTCTTGGCCCAGGGTTAGAAGGGGCACCACTCACGACACGATACGAAAGCTGGCGAACTGGCAAACATCTCGCAACAATGCTGCCGTCTGGAGTGGCGTTCATTGCCGAAACTGGTAACCGTGCTTCGAAGTGTCGCGAAAAGGTTACAAACCGCATGTGCTTCGCGAATGCCGACGTGATCCACGTGCGTGTTCTTCTACCCCAGCCAGCTTGGATGATTGACGGTTGAGGGTGATTGGATGTACAAACTCCACGCTAGACGGTTGAATGAAAGTGTACGCTTTTGAGTCACTCCTGCCACAAGCTACATAAAAGTATATCTCTAAATTTCTTTCTCCGTCACTATGGACCTTCAGTATTTTTGTTTTACGAAGAATGTGTTACGATAAGTTGATAAATAACACTGTGTTTACATTCGACTACACTTGTCAAACTTCTAGCGGCATGCAAAATCACAAAGTTTATAGGTAGCACATTCAGTGCAGCACATTACCAGCGTGTGCCAACCAGACTCCCAGTATTGCTGGTCTAGGTAGGGTTAGTAGCAAAACCTCTTTTCTTAAGATTCGGGGGTGGGAGGTGCTGGTACTAACAATGCGGCCGTCCATGCGAACAGTTTCGTCTGGTGACGAGGGCCGTGGCGTGGATACTGGAGTGGTGAGAGGGAGGGCGGATGGACCAGCAGCAACAGCAGCGGCAGCTGCAACAGCAGCAGCACAGGCAGAGCAGATGTGGTAGTGACTGTATGGTTGCCTGTTGAGACCAGTGAAGCAGTGCAACAGCAGAAGCATAGCAGCGCAACCAACCCATTGCCTCAGAGCGAGCAGCAGAAGCATAACAGCCCAACCAACCCATTTGCCTCAAGTGTTCGTCACTGCGAGCAGCAGGAACAGGTGGTTGAAGCGACGTTTTGAGGCAAATAAATTCTGGGCAGCAGTAGAGTAGTTTAGAGTAGCAGCCCTCTCATGCTGTTGACTTGACCGGTGTGCCCGTCAGCGCGGGCAGCAGGAGCAAGCGGTTGGGGAGGTGGTGAACTTGGCAAGAAAGAAGCCGATGGTGTCGAGGGCGTGCGAGGGGTGGAAGCTCATCACCTTGTGCTGCTCGCCCTCCCTCAACCACTCCCTGCTCGCATGGGTGGTAGGGGGAGGGGGAAGGGGAGGGGAATGTGAGAAAGGGGGGACAGTGAACGTGGGTTCACAGGGAAACGCAAGGGGAGAAAACAGGATGTGCCATATAAAGGGCACACGGGGGAAGCAGGGGGGACGTGGGGAGGGCGGGAGAGAGGGGACGATGGAGCATCATGAAAAGAAGCAAACGCACGGGATTGCCACACGAGCAGAGAAAAAGGCAGGGCCAGTCGAGTGAAACGGCATCTCGTCTCGGGACAACTCAAAGGACATGCTATTCCTTGGAATTGTCACGTGCAAATTGCCACTTGCACGCGCCTCACTTGTTCTTTGGACATCATTTTCGAAGAGCATTTGTTGCCTCACTTGTTCTTTGGACATCACTTTCAAAGAGCATTTGTTGCCTCACTTGCACGTGCTGCCACCACTCACTTGCATGCAGTGCCATCCGAAACGTTCAGGCCCCCAACTAGGGCCGGTTGCCCCAGGTGCAGCTCGGGTGGCTGGAGAAAAGGCGTGGGAGGGAGCAGGGGAGGGAAAAGGAGGAGGAGGTGGGCAGCACAGGCACGATGGGAGGAAACGCAGAGGTAGAGTTCTTGACAAATGTCAGAACGGTTTTTATCAGAGCAAACTGGGTAACAGCAACTGGGTGGCGGGGCTGGGTGGGTGGCTGCATTAGTGGGTGCAGGCGTGCGTGGCTCATGGGTGCATGGGTGAATGGGTGAATGGCTCACAGGGGCGAGCAGGGAGAGGTGGGGGTAGGTGTCGAGAGTGTAGCGCACATTGGCCTCGTTCTCCCCTGGGTTGATGCTGCACCTGATGATGGTGGATGAGAAGGTCGGATAGGAGGCATGGATGATGAGTGAGGGGGCGAGGAAGGCAAATCAAACGAGATGCTGTCAACTGATGTGCGACTAGTGGTGCCAGTGTACCCAAGCACATTGGTTTGGGCTGGGCTAAGCTGCTAGCGTCAACAACAAGAAGCCGCATTTGCTGTGCTCGACTTGGATTGCAAGAGGCGCTGATGAATGGAATGCAGCGTGCTAGAATTGATTAATGAGGTGCATCAAACATCGCGTAGATTTCACGCGAGTGCAGTGGTTATAGACTGCAGGGTGTGGAGTGTGGAGACTCCTCTCAGATTACTAGGCAATTGTGTATGCGAAGGTGCATCAACAAGAAAAGACGTCTCAAACAAGGTATACAAGGAGGAGGAGACGCGGCATACGTGGAGTAGACGAGTGTGCCGCCCGGTTTGACGAGGCGCACGGCGGCATCAATGAGCCTGCGCTGGTACACCGCATTCTTGCGCAGCTCCCCCAGTGACACCTGGGGGACGTGGGGGGAAAGGGGAGACGCAGGGAAGGGAAAGGGGAGGAAGAGATTGGAGAGGAGAGGATCACTGAGATGAGCAGAGTATGATGTGGGGGGGGGAAGGGGGGAATGGGGATTCGATGGACAGGATGAACGATGAGGCGAGCATCCAAGCACAAGCAGGCTGGCACACACACAAGTGCCACTTTCCTCCTCCACTTCCTCACCATTGCTCTGTTGCACCACCCGCCCGCCCACCCACCGGGACAGACAGACAGGCAAGGACACGCACATTGGCGGCAAAGAGGCGCGGGCGGAGGCCGAGAGCAGAGCAGGGCCCATCCAGCAGCACACGGTCAAAGCTGTGCGCCTCAAAGCCCCCCTGAGCCCTCGCCCGAGCCTCCTCCTCCCCTTCCTGCTGCTCCCCCTGCCTCCCCTGCTCATCCTTCCCTCCCCTCTTTCCCCCACGTGCCCCCCTCATGCGCCCCTGTCCCCCTCCTGCCCTCAGCCGCCGCTTCTCCTCTCGCTGCTCTGCTCTGCTCTTGCCGGTGGCTGGTGCACAAGGGAGGACATGGGGATTGGCATGGGGAGGGGGATGGGCATGGTGATGGGGATAGGGAGGGGGATGGGGCATGGGGATGGGCATTGGGATGGGCGTGGGGATGGGTATGGGGATGGAGATGGGCATGGGCATGGGCATGGGCATGGGCATGGGCATGGGCATGGGAATGGGCATGGGCAGGGGCATGGGCATGGGCATAGGGATGGGCATGGGATCGGTATGGGGTTTGACAGCAGAGTGAGACCCGAGGTGGGTTGGAAGCAAGACGATGCAAACAGATTAACCCTTCAGTAGCTGTTCTTGGACTAGCTTCATGTAGACCCTGCTTCCATTCCATCACGCCCAATCTGCTGCTAGCAGCATCAGCACTCCTACCTACTGATTGTTGCCATACCTTTGCTGCCCCCTCCTACTCTAACACCTGCTGCTCCTCCTTCTGCTGCTGCTACTGCTGTTGCTGCTCCATCTGCCGACCCTCTCCCCTCGCTGCCATTCCCCAAACCCTCCCTTGTTGTGCCAGCATCAGTGGCACCACCAGAAGCATCATCACCATCACCACCAGCAGCAGGCGCAGTGTCAACAGAAACAGCAGCAGCAGCAGCAGCAGCAGCAGCAGTAGCGGCTTTGGAGTGTGCAGGCGCAGCAGCAGCAACGGCGGTGGTGGCGTCCATCTTGATGGCATGGATGCATGTGAGCCCCATCTCTGCTGCCACTGCCCTTATACCCCGCACCTGTCACCATGGGGGAGTGGGGGATGGGGGAATAGGGGAATCGGGGGATGTGAGGATGGGGGAATGGGTTGTGGGGGCAACGGCGGTGGTGGCGTCCATCTTGATGGCATGGATGCATGTGAGCCCCATCTCTGCTGCCACTGCCCGTATGCCCCGCACCTGATGGTGCCATGGCATGGGGAATGGGAGGATGGGGGGATGGGGGAAGAGCGAGAGGGGGAATGGGGGCGATTCATGAGGACGAGAACGAGATGCCTCAAGATTCACAAGATACTGTCGACTCAAGATTCACACTGCGCCTCGGTACAATTTGAACGCTCTGCGGAGGGGCAATGGCCCATGGGAGGGGCAATGGCCCATGGGAGGGGCAATGGCCCATGGGAGGGGCAATGCATGCGGGGTAGAGGCAACAAGAAGGGAGCGCAATAAAACTGCAAGGCAGCAGGCGGCAGGCTTTCGTGGCGTGGTGCGGTGGGAGGGGTGTGGTGGCGTAGTGGGGTGGTGTAGTGTGCATAGCATATTGAGGGTGTGGTGAATGCGCGCACGCGAGCAGCAAGACACCTTTTTCTGTTTTGAGGCGCCTCAAAAGACTTCTGTTGCATTGCACCAGAATGCCCTTGTGTGGGGCGCCCTACCCTACCCTACCCTACCCTACCCTACCCTACCCTACCCTACCCTACCCTACCCTACCCTACCCTACCCTACCCTACCCTACCCTACCCTACCCTACCCTACCCTACCCTTCCTACCCTACCCTACCCTACCCTACCCTACCCTACCCT